CCTCCACCTCCCCCCTTTCCCCAGATGTCTCCCCCCTGCCCCAGATCTCCAGGGCACGATGTGAGTCACCCAACTGGTGGCTCTCGAGACACCCCTCCCGCAGGCAGGGCTAGCTGTTGCTGCTGCAGGGGGGGTGTGGAGGGAGGGGCTGCGGGTCTCCCTCGCCCTCTCTCAGCCTCTGCCTGTGTCTCTCTCCTCCGTCTCTCCCCAGCTGTCTCTGGCCTGTCACTCTGGCTCTCCCTTTCCAAGTGTCTAGTCTCTGTCCTGCCTCCACAACTCCCAGCTTCCCACAGGACCTCTGCTCCTCGTCCCTGGTTAATGCCCCCCCGTCCCGCCTCTTCCCTTCTATTTTTAGGCATCTCCTAGTTTAGGGAGAATTTTCTGGCCAAAGATGGCAGGAACCCAGAGTCCTGGCAGGCCTGCTGGGTGGGGGCCCCTCCCTCCCCAAAGCCCTGATCTCTCTGCCCATGGAGTGATTCTCATAGGGGGCCATGGCCAGGACCCGAGGGGAGGGGGGTGGCATCTGACCCCTGCCATGACTGTCTCTCTCTGTGCACCCCCCACCTCCGGCCCCACCATGTCTGCTCCGCCCTGCCCGGATCTGCCGTGGTGAGTGATCTGAGCACCCAACTTCCTTTCCGGGGGGAGGTGGCATTCTTGGGGTGAAGAGGGATTCTTCCTTCTAAATGTCAGGCTGCGGCAGGAGAGCGATGCCCTAGAACAATGCAGCCAGAGCCTCTGTCCCAAAGCAAAAGACAACCGGATCACCCTTCAGCCATTCAAGCATTTGTGTAGCACCTGCTACATACCAGCCCCATGGGCATTGGGACCCAGATATGAGCAATACAGTCCCGGTCCTAATTTGGTATTGGGATCCAGATGATGAACGAGTGCAGAGGGAGGCGGGAAAAACAGAAGTCTGGGGTGTTAAATGAGAACAACCACTCGGGGAGGTAGACGGGTCGGGGAGTATGGGCAGTTGGCTGTGGTCCAGACCTATGCCCTGAAATTCTCCAGGTCCTCTGCTTGTGCATAACACCCTCCTGATGTTCTCAGGGTTCCCCTTGTCCATGCCAACTTCTTCCCCAGCCCTATCTTGCTTCCCTCCGCATTCTGCCTTGTGGGGCACAGGGACACCCATCTCTGGATTACGGAGGCCTCCAGAGGTGCCTCCCAGACAACAAAACCCCATTCTCCCAGCCCCAGCGTGTATTCGGGACGTATTTCCGAGTGGGCTTCTATGGCGCACGTTTTGGGGACCTGGATGAGCAGGAGTTTGTGTACAAGGAGCCCTCAATCACCAAATTGGCTGAGATCTCCCACCGATTAGAGGCAAGTCCAGTCTCTGGGGGATGTGGGGGGCGGGGACAGGACACCAGGCTGCCTGGGGGCTGGAGTGGGGGCTGCCATCGTACAGATCCGAGTCAGCCCCATGTCCTCAGGAGTTCTACACAGAGAGGTTTGGGGACGATGTGGTGGAGATCATCAAAGATTCTAACCCCGTGGACAAGTCCAAGCTGGATCCACAGAAGGTGGGCTCTCAACCATCCTCCCAAAATCCTATATAAAAGGAGATTCTAAATACTATTTCCCAGAGAAGCTAAAGTCCTATTTCTCTTACACAACTCCAAAACTTATTTTCCTAGGGGAGCCTAAAGCCTATTCCTCAGGGCAGTCCCCGTCATCCAGATGTAGGAAGACCTGGGAACCCTAGAATCAAAAGCCCCCAGACTCAGGGCAGCCAGGGCCTCTTTCACCAGGCCTGAGGCACCAGGTGCCTGTGCTGGGGCTGAGGAACCCTCACCCCCACCCCACACCCCAGGCCTACATCCAGATCACTTATGTGGAGCCGCACTTCGACACTTATGAGCTCAAGGACCGCGTGACCTACTTTGACCGCAACTATGGGCTGCGAGCCTTCCTGTTCTGCACGCCCTTCACGCCGGATGGGCGTGCACACGGGGAGTTGTCCGAGCAGCACAAGCGCAAGACCCTGCTCAGCACTGAGCACGCCTTCCCCTACATCAAGACGCGCATCCGTGTGTGCCACCGGGAGGAGGTGGGCGCGGGGAGGGGAGGGGGGCATCAGACTGAGCAGGCTCTGGGAAGGGGAGGTGTAGGGACCCTAGACCTAGGTTGGCTCAGCAATCCAGACCTAGAAAGGGGTGGCATGGGGATCCCAGATCAAGGAAGACCCAGAAAGGAGAGGTACTGTGAACTGTTGGTCCAGGGCAACCCAGAGAGGTCTGGATGTACAGTCCATCCCCTTCCAGCCAGAGAGGAAAGGCCTGGAGACCCCAGATCCAGGAAGAGGCTCAAGTACCCCAGAACTGGGTTGGAGAGGTGGGGGGCACCTCAAACTCTGACCTCTACCTCAAGCCTCTACCTCCCGACCCAGGGAGGCCTGGAGACCCTAGACATAGGGACACTGGACTCAAGGGCACCAGACCTAACCTCTTAGGCTGGACCCTAACCATGCCAACCACAGAGTCAAAGGCAGCTGCACCAGTACCCCCACCATGGCAGAGCCCAGCAGACAGGAGCCCCCAGGGCTCATTCATTGCCAGCCTCTCGGGCCCTGTGCCCTCAGTGGGATCCCAGCTTCCTTGGGCTGACCTGGGTCAGGACACCATCAGGCCCCAGCAAGTGTATACACCCTCCCTAACCCGCAGACAGTGCTTACACCAGTGGAGGTGGCCATCGAGGACATGCAGAAGAAGACACGGGAGCTGGCCTTTGCCACTGAACAGGACCCTCCAGATGCCAAGATGCTACAGATGGTGCTGCAGGGCTCTGTGGGGCCCACCGTGAACCAGGCACGGCTGGTATGGGGGGTGCAGGCTCCCAGGGCGACTCTAGGCCCCATGCAGGCACCCTCATGGGTCCCTGTCACCCTGTAGGGTCCCTTGGAGGTGGCTCAGGTATTTTTGGCAGAGATCCCAGAAGACCCCAAGCTGTTCCGGCATCATAACAAACTTCGGCTTTGCTTCAAGGACTTCTGCAAGAAGTAGGTCTGACACTCTCCCGAAGGCTCCTGTGTCCCCCGTAGGCTCCTGTGTCCCCCGTTCCAGCTCTTCACTTAACTGGCCCCCGCTCCTGATGATAGCTCCTCCTCAGTTTGCCTGACCCCCTGGTGGGCCTCCCTGCAGGCTGGGTCCTCGGGGACTTGCTTTCTCTGCTGACCATCTCCTGCCCTCTGGCCCTCAGATGTGAGGACGCTCTGCGGAAGAACAAAGCCCTGATTGGGCCTGACCAGAAGGAGTACCACCGTGAACTGGAGCGCCACTACTGCCGCCTGCGGGAAGCACTGCAGCCCCTGCTCACCCAGCGCCTGCCCCAGCTGCTGGCCCCGGCCCCAGCCAGCCTCAGGTGTCCAACCTGGGCCCCCTACCCTACAGAGGGCAAGCGGAGGCTGGCCAGGACAGGCACACTCGCATAGCAACACTGGCCACGCTCAAAGCTTTGCATATCGTCCATAAGTACAAAGGCAGGGCAGTCTCTGGGCGGCCATGTCCCTGACATGTGTCTTCAGCTGTCTGACCCTTGGTTTCCACATCTGTGAAACTGGCCGGATTCATACCTCCCATGGCGGATTCCAAGAATCTGCAAACCCCACAGCCAGATCAGGGTGAAGATAAAAGGGGCAGGAGAGATCTTAAAAAAGATCTTTGGAAGAGGAGGGGGTGGTGTCATAAGAGGAGGTGGAGGAGGGAGCCCTGTGGAGTTGGAGGCCCTGCTGGGGACCCATGCTGACTAACCCTGTTCCTCCCCCAGGAACTCTCTGAACAGAGCAAGTTTTCGGAGGGCAGACCTCTGAGCCCAGAGGACCAGCATCCAGGCCTCAGCTGTCTGTGCCTTGCTGGGAGTCGCCCCTACTGCCCTCTCAGCCTCAGGGTGCCTGCACTGTACTTGGGGTTGAGCCCTCTGCCCCTCTGTCTGTCTGCTCCTGTTTGTGTGCACTGATGCTCCCTAACTTTTTTTAATTTAAAATGGTTTTTATATGCAGCCTGTATGATGTGGTCACTGGGGGATGGGTCACGTCTGTACAGTCCATCCCCTCACAGCCATGTGTCCTGTGACACCCAGTGAGACACTGATAACCTCCTGGGTACTGGGGACAGTGGTGACTTCCCTCATGAAGCTGACACTCTAGTGGGAAAAGTGACACAAATTTTAGTCCACAAGTCCACTGGGAATAATAACACTTAACCAAGTCCTCACGGAGTGCTTCCAGAAGAGCCGCCCACCCCGGGATGGGGGTGTAGCTCAGTGGCAGAGCATTTGCCTGGCAGGCATGGGGCCCTGGGTTCAGTCCCAGCAAGGTGAAACTTTTTTAAAAAATGTGGCCACCCCATTTATGGGCTTTTTTATTGAGGGACCTCTATTGGGCTCCTGCCTAGTGGTTAGGCAATCTTCTCCACATTCCTGTCAGATTGACGACATGATTAGCCCCATTTTGCAGATGGGGAAACTTGGGCTCAGTGCAATAAAAGATGGATGAGCCTGGGATTGGAGTCCAGGTCTGGCTGACTCTGGCGCCCAGGCCTTAGCCGCCGCCTCTGCAGCCTCGCGCTAGAGCAGCCCCCTCCCAGCCCGCGATGGTCACGCCACCGTGTACCAGGCCTGCGCTGGGCGGCTTCCAGCCCTGCGCGGGGCAGGGGGTGGGGGGGAAGGGTGACCTCCCGCCGCCGCGCCCGCCCCACAGCCCTCCCCGAGCTGGGCCCCGGCCAGCCCCGCCCCCGCGGCCGCCCAGATGCAGAGGGCGGGGGAGGCCAGCGGTGGGGGATCCAGCCCCTGGGACGGCTGGCGGGGACAAAGGGGGACGAGTCGGGCACCCGCGACGTGCACACACACCTGCCGTGCAGGTGAGACCGCGTCCACCCCACCACTCTGCCTTTCCCCTGACCCTACTGGCCTGGGGCACCCGAGGGGCGGGGCCGGCCGGGGGCGGGGCCAGGGGCGGGGCCAGCCCGAGGGCCGGGCGGCCAGGCGGCGGCGCGGAGGACGCAAGGGCGGCGGGACGCAGGGACGGCGGCGGCCGGAGCGCGCCAGGCGAGTAGGAGCCGGGCTGGGGTCGGGCTTCGAGTCGGGTTCGGAGTTCGTGTGCGGTCCCTTCCCCACCTCCAACTCCGGGCACAACCTCGTGGTTCCTTAGGAGCCACTGCCTCCAACCTCCACTGTCCCCAACTTTCCCGACTGAGAGCATCTCGGTCTCGCGCCCCTGTCCCCTCCCCATCTTTGACCCTAGCCCCACTTCCCTCTTCCCGCATCTACCTCCATCCCTCCCCCGTGCCCTGTCCCTCTCCCCCACCCCTGCCTCCCCTCTACCTCTCTCCTTCGCCGCCTCTCTCCCTCTCTCGGCCCCTGTCCTGCCCTCCCGCCCTTTGGTCCCTCCTCCCGCCCTCTGTGGCAGGGCCAGGCCCCAGGCGGCGGGAAGGCGGCCCGGCGTCCGGCCGGCCGGGCTGGGCCTCGGCCTGGCGGCTGGGTCGGCGTGGGGAGCTGCAGCTGTTTGCTATTAGCCTGGGACCCCGCAGGCCCCGCCCCTCCCTGCATGGGGCGGGGTATCCTCGCCCCCAACTTTGGGGCGGAGAGAGGGGCAGGAAAACCCCCGGAGATGTCCTGGCTGGCAGGGAGGTGCATTGGGGAGCTTCTGAGCTCCCCCACCTGACCCTTCTTGGAGACCCCTGTACCCCTTCCCTGAGCTCCCCACCTGACCCTTCTTTCCCCTCCTGTTCCTCCAGGAGTCCTTCCACCCACATGCCACCACCCCACACTCCCAGTGTCTCTTTCTGTGGCCATGGAAGGTGGTCAGATAATTGGAGACCTGCAGACCTCCATGTCTGGGAAATGGGTAGAGGGCCGTGGAGTCTGCAGGGAGTGGCTTGGTGGGTTCTAGTGGAGCGGCTTTTCCACTGCCCAAGTGACCCGAACAAGTCGCTGCACTTTTCTATCCCCTTAGGTTCTCCATCTGTAAGCCAGAGTAATAACTACCCACCTTGACTATTGTTATATGTTGATGTTATTTGCTACTGGGTGTACCTGCTCCCCCTGCCCCAGGCCATACCAAACCTGCTCCCTGCCTCTGGGTCTCTCCTAGGTCCCCAGAAAATATTTCAGATCAACTTCCTGTTGCTCATGGGGTGAGGCTGCAGGCAGATGGAAAACCAAATTTCCTACAACTGGTGACGGTGCATTCCAGGTGTGGAAAGCCAGTGAAGCGAGGACAGAGACGTGGAGAGACAGGCAAAGAGAAGTGGAGAGACTGAGAGACAGAGAGGTGGAGAGAGAGGCAGAGAAGAGTGGAAAGAGAAAGACGTGGAGAGAGACTAAGCAAGTCAGGACGAGAAGACATAAGACATACATACTCAGCTGTCCCTGGAACCCCAACCCCGCCTTCATGCCCAACAGGTGCCCCACTTGGTCCATCTTCCCAGGTACCCATTGCCCAGGTACCCTCATGCCAGAAAGGGTTCACTTTCTTTGTGGGATGAGCTGTGGGTTCTGCAGCAAGGTGGCTAGAAGTCAGATTGCAGAAAGGACTGGCCAAGTTCAGGCAGGGTTTGGGGGACAAAAGGGCCCTGCCTAGTCTCCAGGGCTGAGGGGGGTTTAGTGAGAAGCCCTGATTGTTCCTCCCTTTTGCAGCCTCCAGGCGCCCCCTCTTACTTCCTCCCCTCCACCCCATGGCTTCCCGGGCCTCCGCCCCAGCCCTCTCTCCCTGCTGCACCCCCAAGCCGGGACACATCCTGGGGGGGCAGGAAGTTCTGTGTAGCGAAACTGTTTATTTTTAGAGAAAATTGTTTCCATAAAGGGGAAGGGCTTCGTGCCTCCCACTTTCCCTACCCCCCACCAGGGCTCTCTGCCTTGGGGTCACCTAGGGGTCCACTACCCCTGTGTGGCTCCTTAGATCCTTGCAGGGAGACTGTCCCCCGTTAGCGCCCCAGCCTGTCTGTCTTAGCCCCCAATTTTTTCTGTGGCCAGCTCCAGGCCTGGGCTGAGGAGAGGGGGTTCAGGAAGGGTGGGGCTGTCAGGCTTGGGGCCCCCGGCCCAGGGCCGAGTGGAGGCAGGGCTGTGGGAACAGCTGGAGCCTGTCCAGGGGCTGGACAGATGTGCACGCAGGCCTTAGGTTTGGTTTCTTTGTTCCGGGCCTTTCCTTGGCTGGGCAGAGTGTGCATATGAGAGGGTCCCAGACCTGGGTGGAGCCACTGTGTGGCCACATTCCCCTCCCCCTGCAGACTCCTCCTGACCCGTTCCACCACCCCCTCTCCCCAGGTAACCTTCAGCCAGTGCTGCAGGCAGTCTGACTCACTGTCCCCCAAGTGACTCCTGAGGAACAACTGCAGACAAGAAGATGGCCCAAGTCCTGCATGTGCCCGCCCCTTTCCCAGGTCAGGGGTCTGGGGGGGGGGGAAGGGCCCTGCCCTGGGAATTCTGTCCAGGGCTTTGCCCTGAGGGCCTGAGGGGGAGGCCACAGCCCAGCCCTGGGAGGACTTGAAGGAGACAGAATCTTGCTGGGATGAAGGGGTAACCCGAGGGGGAGATAGGGACCTGTCCTGGGAGGCTGTTGGGGGGACATGGTGCAGCACTGGGGTCCTGGGCAGGAGAAGTACAGCCCTGCCATGGCCGGGGATCTGAAGAAAGGAACCTTCTCGCTGGGAAGGGGTTTAGTTTGAAGGGGCCAGAAATCCCTGTGCTGGGGACTTGGGAGGCACAAGAGAGGGTCAGAGTCAGAGTGGGACACCCTTTCCTTCTGGGGGTGGCCCCGCTGTCCTGGGAGAGTGTGGGGGAGAGAGAGTCCTGCTGGGGGACCAGAGGGAGGCAGTCCGGGCCCTCTGTCTCAGGGCAGGCGGGAGGACACCGAGTCTCCAGGGAGCTCAGCCCTGCCCTGGGAGGCCTGAGGGTGACCTGGAGTCGGTGTGGAATGCCAGGTGGTCTCCAGCCTTCGGGCACATGGAACCTGGCCCTCCTGGGCATCAGCCTGGGCCCAGGCAGGGGGACAGCAGTGCTTAGAGGTGCTGGCCTCTCTCTCCACCCCAGGGACCCCGGGCCCAGCCTCCCCACCTGCCTTCCCCGCCAAGGAGCCTGACCCACCCTACTCGGTGGAGACCCCCTACGGCTACCGCCTGGACCTGGACTTTCTCAAGTACGTGGACGACATCGAGAAGGGCCACACGCTGCGGCGGGTGGCCGTGCAGCGCCGTCCCCGTCTGGGCTCATTGCCGCGAGGCCCTGGCTCCTGGTGGACGTCCACCGAGTCGCTGTGCTCCAACGCCAGCGGGGACAGCCGCCACTCGGCCTACTCCTACTGCGGCCGGGGCTTCTACCCGCAGTACGGCGCCCTGGAGACGCGCTCCGGCTTCAACCCGCGGGTGGAGCGCACGCTGCTGGACGCCCGGCGCCGCCTGGAGGACCAGGCGGCCGCGCCCCCTGGCCTGGGCTCCCTGACGCCCAGCGCAGCCGGCTCCACGGGCTCCCTGGTGGGCGTGGGGCTGCTGCCGCCCACGCCTCGGAGCTCGGGACTGTCCACGCCAGTGCCGCCCAGCGCCGGGCACCTGGCCCACGTGCGGGAGCAGATGGCCGGTGCCCTGCGGAAGCTGAGGCAGCTGGAGGAGCAGGTGAAGCTGATCCCCGTGCTGCAGGTGAAGCTGTCGGTGCTGCAGGAGGAGAAGCGGCAGCTCACGGTGCAGCTCAAGAGCCAGAAGTTCCTGGGCCACCCCACCGGGGGCCGCAGCCGCAGCGAGCTCTGCCTGGACCTCCCAGACCCGCCCGACGACCCGGCGGCGCTCGAGACCCGGAGTGTGGGCACCTGGGTCCGCGAGCGGGACTTGGGCGTGCCCGACGGGGAGGCGGCGCTGAATGCCAAGATCGCCGTGTTGGAGACCCAGCTCAAAAAGGCCTTGCAGGAGCTGCAGGCGGCCCAGGCCAGGCAGGCCGAGCCCCAGGCCTGGCCCCCGCCCGACAGCCCCATCCGAGTGGACACGGTCCGGGTGGTGGAAGGGCCGCGGGAGGTGGAGGTGGCGGCCAGCACAGCTGCTGGGGCCCCTGCACAGCGAGCGCAGAGCCTGGAGCCTTACGGAGTGGGGCTGAGGGCCCTGGCGACATCAGGAGGGGCAGAGAACCCCCCCGTGTTCCGCAGCCACGAGGTGGTGGAGACAATGTGCCCGGTGCCCACTGCGTCCACTAGCAACGTCCACGTGGTCAAGAAGATCAGCATCACAGAGCGGAGCTGCGAAGGGGCGGCAGGTGAGTGTGGCACAGGGGGAGGGGAGAGTCTGGATTGTCTTTCTCTCCGCTGCTCATCCTGACCCTGGGAATGGCAGGGCCCAGCCCCTGCCCCAGCCTTTCACCAGCCGCATCATCCAGCTCTCAGAGCCTCTGTCTTTTCATCCACAAACAAGTGAGCCACTGACCCAAGGGCTGTAGAGGCCTGTGGAGAAATTGGGTGTCTAGCATGGGACCTTCTGCATGGCTCCTTGTGAACTTCAGAACAGGAGTTATCTGGAGGAGGTTCTGTGTAAGTCTGTCGGTTAGCTGGGCAGAAACCCTCCTTGTGTATTCAGTAAGTGGCGGGAATCCATCTCTGGTACAGGAAACAGGTTGTTCATATAACCGGCAGCCTCAGGTATAGCTGGATCCAAGTGCTCAGATGCCATCAGGAATCTAAGTTATTGTCACTCTCCTTCCTACCCTGGAGATGGGCAGAGGAAGGTGGCCCCATCGCTCCAGGGCTTTTTCCTTCCAGCTCCGTGGAAAGGGAGCCCCTTAGTCTAAATAGTACCAGTCAAAGACCCAGGAGTGGCCTTCATTGCCTATTCCTGGATCCTGAAGGAAGAGAAGCCCCACCCAGGCTCTGTGGCCTTTAAGAGAGGAAGGGGGTGCCCCAGAAGAAGCGCTGAGTCCTCATGCCAGGAAAGAGGGTGCAGGGTGTGCAGAACATCTGCCCAGCCACTGCTGCCCTGAGGGCCCAGGGAGAAGCTACCAGAATGACTCATAATAATGACAGCTGTTCTTTATTGAGTACCCGCCGAGGAGTGCTAAATGCTGTGCAAAGTGTTTTACCCAAGGAGGGGTCATCTGTGCAGCCAGAGGACCTGAGTTCAGATACACTTCCTGCTGTGTGACCTGGGTGAGCAATACCGCCTCTCTGGGCCTCAGCCCACCTCTCTGTGAAGTAGCATAGTACTGGTTCCCACCTCTGAAACCCTGGTGAATTCACGTACACAGTAAGTGCTCCATCAGTGCTTCTTGCTGCTTCTAATAATTTTTGGTCAACCTGTTTATAGCTGGGGAGACTGAGGCTTCACACGCTTTACTTCACTTCACTGAGGTGTCACACAACCAGGAAGCAGCTGAGCCGGGATCTGAGCCCAGGCCAGCTTGAACCTGGGGCAGGGCTCCAAGGGGGGTCCCAGATTCTCCTCCCGCCTGCAGGGTCAGCTGCCCAGCGCCCAACCAACATCCGGAGGGCAGGGACTGAGGGCAGGGACCCAGCTGTGCTTTCTCACTTCCCTGTGTTGTTCCTGGCCAACTCCGGACACCACTCCTCTGTTCTGTGTCCATCCAAACACCCAGCCCTGCGACTCTGGCCTTCAGCCAGCGGTCCCGCCCGGCCCAGCCTCGGAATCTCTGAGAGGCACCCTCCATTCCAGACATGCTTCCCAGGGCAGCCATGGGGCCTCCTGCTTGCAGGACATACAGACATAGCAGTGTCCACCCCCTGTGCAAGCCGCTGTCCCTGAAGGTCCTTCCTGGTGGCTTACTCCACTCCCTCTTGCTGCAGGCAACCCTGGTCTTTGCCTTGCTTGGGCAGAGCTGGAGTACATTCATTCATCTCGATATCTCATTTAGCAGACCTCTATGGAGAGCCCACTAGGTGCTGGACTGTTGTAGGCACTGGGAATGCAACCGTGAACTAGACAGACCAAAGCCCCTGCAACAACTGAACAAGAGACTGCAGTGATGGGAAATGTCACTTCAGGGAATTCATGTATTTAAAGCAAAAAAATAGAGACGTGGAATTGGGGACAGCTAGATAGGGTGATGGCCTGGGTTCAGCTCTGACTTCCTGCTCCCTGTCCCTCGGTCCCGCAGCATGCTGCGTAAGCCCTCTATGCCTCGGGTCCTCATCCATGAACTGGGGGTCCCGCCAGTCTGTTACTGAAACACAGCCAAGGGCACGGCTCAGTGGTGGACAAGGGGTTTACATGTGTGAAGCCCTAGGTTCCCTCCCCAGCAACACAAAAAGGGGGGGGGGGAGGTGGGAATCATGTCAAATGGTCAGCAGGGCCTAGGGCATGAGGCAGGGCGCACGGTCACCTCCAGGCCTTGTGGCATCTCCCAACCAAGATGCAAAGGAGTCAGGCGGGCAAAGGAGTCAAGGAAACAGTGTTCTGGGCAAGGCCGAGCGGTCAGAGGCCCCAAGGTGAAGAAGGGCCCCTCAAAGTGTCGAACGGAACCAGTCACTCTGGCAGCTCAGCTCCGGAGGCTGAGGCAGGAGGATTGCAAGTTCAAGGCCAGCTTCAGGAACTTAGTGAGGCTTGGCCTCCAAAAATTAAAGTAAAAAGGGCTGGGGACATAGCTCATGATAGAGCACCCTGGGGTCCATCCCTAGTACTGGAAAAAGAAAAAAGAAAATTATGGCATTCCGGGGTGCTATTTGATGCCTGTTTCATATTTTATTCATTTGAATTCACAATGACCCTATGAAGTGTTGATGTTTTAATTCTCATTTTACAGATGAGGAAACCCAGGCCCGGGGAGGTAAAGGAATTTGCCTATGGTTCTCAAAGCCAACACTCAAACTGTGTCTTTAGTTTAACGTGATCCTAGGAGCATTTTCTCTATTCGTCCAAATTCTTTGGACATGCTCTTTTTTAAAATACTGACACCATTTTCTTCTCTCTTTTTCTTTTGTGGTGCTGGGGATGGAACCAGGGTCTTGAGTGTGCTAGGTAAGTGGTCTACCACTGAGCTACAGCCCCCAAAACAATCAGTTATTTATTGATTGATTGATACTGGGGATTGAACCCACGGGCAGTTTACCACTGAGCCACATCCCCAGCCCTTTTTATTTTTCTGTTTTGAGATAGGATCTCACTAAGTTCCTTAGGGTCTCAAACTTGCGATCCTCCCGCCTCAGCCTTCCAAGGAGCCGGGATTACAGGTATGCACCATCATGCCTGGCCCAGAATTGATTTTTAAAAATTTAAGTTATTGAGCTGCACCAAGTGTGGACAGAGCGCCAGCCGTGGGCATGTAAAGTAATTCAGTAAAAGACATGAAGGCCCTTGAAAATACCCTTCCCGAAACCTGTCGTAAGCAAAGAGGGTGGACCACGCGAGACGTTCTCCCGGTGTTGAGTTGACCTGAGTCTCCAGTCTGCCAACCACACCCGCTGGTCTCCTGTTTTGCTTTGGTATTTCTTCTCTGTCCCCTCCGTCCTTAGCCGGACAGCTTTGCAACTCTGCAGGGCTCTACCTTCTCTCTCTCATCTGCTCACTCGTCTCCGTTCCGTTTTCCCTGCCTTATTGAGATATTATCAAATATTAAGAAAGAAAACCAAGAGTTAAGTGCGGACGCTGAGCCAGCTCAGTGCCTCCTCCTGTCCTCATGGTGCAGAAGCAGCCGTCGGTGAGATGTCAAGGAACAGGCGTGCCAGGTGCTGTGTGCACACCTCTGGTCCCACAGCTGGGGAAGTTGAGGCAGGAGGAGTGCAAGTTCAAGGCCAGCCTGGGCAACTTAGCTAGACAAGGGATAAAGGAACAAGCTTGGCTGTGCCCCAGCGAAGCTTTACTTGTGCATGCTGAAATTCGATTTTTTAAATATGTTCCACATGTCCTATAGCATTTATTCTTTTATTTTTTTTTCCCAAACCACTTAAAAATGTAAAAACTGTCTGGTATGGTGGCACATGCATATAATCCCAAGCAACCCAGGGAGGCTGAGGCAGGAGGATCACCAAGTTCAAGGCCAGCCTCAGCAACTTAGTAAGGCTCTAAGCAACTCAGTGAGACCTGTCTCTAAATAAAATGCCAAAAAAGGGGTGGGAGTGTGGCTCAGTAGTTAAGTGCCCCAGGTTCAATCCCCAGTACCCAAAAAAGAAAAAAAAAATGCCCATATACCACACCTTCCCAACCTCTCCTCTGTGCCATTCAGGTACCCCCGCCTCCACCACTTCTTTCCCCCATCTTTTTTTTTCCTAATGTGGTGCTGGGGATTGAGCCTGTGCCTCTCACATGGGACGCAAGTGCTCTGCCACTCAGCGGCCCTTCCATTTTTATTTTGAGACAGGATCTGGCGGAGTTGCCCAGGCGGGCCTCAAACTTGTGATCCCCGGCCTCAGTGGCTGCGTCTACAGGGGCATGCCACCACGCCCGGCCCTCCCCTCCCGTTTGCTATCATTCCTGGTTCTTCACCTTCCAGAAGTTTATTTAGATATTTGGTGTCACTGGAAAATATGCCCTGTGTGTGTTTGATTTCCTTAAATGGTATTGTGTTTCAGAAAAACAAAAATCTCTTTCTTATTTTTTTTCCTCCTCTTTTTTTTTTTTCCCCCTGGGCTGGGGATGGAACCAGGCCTCACGCAGCTTGGCTGCTGCTCTCCCACTGAGCCGTCCCCCACCCCGTCCTTTCTCCACGCACACTGGTGGGTTTGTGGGTTGTTGGTTTTTTTTCTTGTAGATGGACACAATACCTTTATTTTATTTATATGTGGTTCTGAGGGTGGAACCTAGTGCCTCACACATGCCAGGCAAGTGCTCTGCCCCTGAGCCACCACCCCAGCCCTACACTGGTGTTTTTAAATCTGGTTTGTCACTTTCAAGAAGCTGAGTAGATTTCTGTCCCGGGTGAGTTCCAGCCTTTCCCCATCTCCTCCCCTCATGGTGGGAGCCGGGAGGTAGCTTCCACCTTTGGCTCCTGTGGACGATGCTAGGGCCACCCTCCCGCTGGCCTCCGGGTCCTGTCTGGTGGTCTGTGCCAACACCCCGTGGGATGCCCTCCGCCGGGCCTGGGCTGCTGCCTGGCTCCCTGCGTCTCCGCCCGTGGCCCATCCACCTTTCTTGCTTTGCCCGCCTTTTGCTGGTGCAGAGTTCTCGCTCCCTGTTGGAATTTGCATTTCTCTGGTTTCCAGCGCGGCCGAGCGTCTCCCTGTGGTCTTATGAGCCTTCGTCCATTTCTCTAGGAGGAACTTTCAGAGGTTCTTGGCATCATCCAGATTAGGGAGTGGCAGACGATGACCTGCCGCCTGTTTTTGTGGCCCTCAGCTGAGAAATGTTTTTATATTTTTAAGCAGTGGAACTGGGCCAGGGTGGAGCCCGGGGACGGAGCACTCGCCTAGTGCCCATGGCCCTGGGTTCCGTCCCCAGCAACGCCTCCCCCCAAAAACTGATGGTGAAACACACAACATACATTTATGAGTTGAACCGTTTTAAGGGAACTGGTCATTCATGGCTGGGAGCACGTTCCCAATGTCTCATAGCCATCCCCACCTCGAGCTCCGGAGCGTTCACCTCTTTCCCCGTTAAACGCTGAGCCCCAGCCCCAGCCCTGCACCCCGCTCTGCCTCTTCCATTTCTGTCTCTGGTCTGGTGACTCTGGCACCTCCAGTGAGTGGAGTCTGTCTGCGCCTTGGTCTGGCTGATTTCATGGGCCTGTGCTTCCGTCTCATCTGTTCTTTCTCCAGTGACTCTAAGTCAGGAGCCCTGAGTCTGGGGCAGAGATGGGGAGTGACAACCATGTGCACATAATCCCAGTGGTTTAGGAGGCTGAGGCAGGAGGATCGCAAATTCAAAGCCAGCCTCAGCAACTTAGCGAGGCCCTGTCTCGAAATAAAAAAAAGAGCTGAGGATGTGGCTCAGTGGCCGTGCGCCCCTGGGTTCAGTGCCCGGCACCAAAATAAAAAATAAGCACAAAGGTTGGGAATGACCATCTGCCTCCCCACATGCTCCACTTGGCTATACCGTGTGTTTAATGTGGGTTCATTGTCAAGGTTTAAAAGAAAACGAGGCCAGGTGTGTCACTCGGAGGTAGAGCACTTGCCTGGAATGCACGAGGCCCTGGGTTCCGTCTTCAGTACTGCATAAAAAATAACAATAAATGTTAAACGTAAAATAATCGGGGGATTCACGAACACTGGCATTTGCCCTCGTGGGAGCGCAGGCCTCGGCCACACCCTGGGTCCAACTGTCTCTAGGCCCAGTGTCACCTGCAGCCCCGCCCTCCCACCCTGGCCCGTGCGGGGCCTCTCTCCCTTCTCCGCTACCCTTGAGTGTTGCGTGTGAACTTGAGGAAGTCATGCTGCATGTGTCAAGAAGATTGTATCCATTAAGGGGACTTCAAAGCACTGGCCTTCAGCAGCTGTGCCCAGTGGCAGGAAGGGGAAACCCCGCGGAAGTGGCAACTCCGAGGCCATCTGTGGCCTGGGGGCCTGGCTGGATCCTGAGACGGGGCAGCCTGGCACGGTGGAGGCTGGACGGTCATTCCCTCTCCGGCCTGCTGGGCTGGGGCGTTAGCTCCTGCTGTCCCTATCCCAGCTGGGCAGCAGATGACCCAGGGATTGTGCCTAGGAGGTCACCTTTGTCCGCAGCCTACTTAGGAAGCATTTCAACTGTGATACATACACGTGAAACTTACCAGTTGAACCTTTGTTTCTTTCCTGCAGTGCTGAGGATGGAGCCCAGGGTCTCCTGGGCTTGGCAGGTGCTCCACCACTGAGCTGCACCTCAGCCCCAAGTCCTGGGTTCCTAACAGCCATGTGGCTTCACTTTCCTGATGATTAAAGCAATGGCTGCCTGACGTCAAATCAGGGATCTAACACTCCCATGCTTTAGGCATGTAGTACTTTTTGGTGGGAGGGCGGCCCTGGGAATTGAACTCAGGCACTCGACCCCTGAGCCACATCCCCAGCCCATTTTTAAATTTTATTTGGACACAGAGTCTCACTGAGTTGCTCCGTGCCTTGATTTTTGCTGAGACTGGCTTTGAACTTGTGTTCCTCTTGCCTCAGCCATAAATAAGGATGGGTATAGTTCAGTGGTTGTGCTCCCCTGGGTTCAATCCCCAGTACCAAATAATAAATACAAAGCCCGGGAATGGTCATCTGCCTCCCCACATGTTCCACTTGGCTATCCAGTGTGTTTAATGTGAATTTATTATTAAGGTTTAAAAGAAAAAGTCAGGAGGCCAGGGATGTCACTTGGTGGTAAGAGCACTTGCCCAGCATGCACGAGGCCCTGGGTTCCATCCCAAAAAAGAAAATAAACAGCGGGGCGTGGTGGCACACACCTGTAATCCCAGCAGCCAGGGAGGCTGAGAAAGGAGGATCACAGGTTCAAAGCCAGCCTCAGCAGTGGCCAGGTGCTGAGCAACTTAGCAAGGCCCTCTCTCAAAATATAAAAGGGCCAGGGCTGGGGCTCAGTGGCTAAGTGCCCCTGGATTCAGTTCATGGTACCAATAAATAAAGAAGAAAAACTGAGCACAAAATGAATTCTAAAACACAATGCTACTTAAAAGGGGACTGGGATGTGGCTCAGTGGTAGAGAGCCCCTGAGGTTCAATCCCCACTACCAAAAAAAAGAAAGAGTTTACAGTCATTTGGAAGTAACAAGTATTTCTCCAGGGCTCTTGACGTGCTGGATTGCGGTAAGCCCTTCATGTCACTCTGCCTTTCGTCTGCACAGTGGTGATGCCGTGAGGTAGGATATGTCATCTGCTTGAAACCCAGAGAAGTTGAGTGACTTGCTCCAGGTCACTCAGCTCCTAGGTGAAAAGTCTGAGTCTCCGCTCTGACCACCGTGCTCTAGGCTGTGATCCAACCCGTCGCCTAGAGAATACTTCATACAGCATCAGGGCGGGGACCCTCAAGCCAGCCCTGTAGGGCCACAGGGACCCTGTCCCTGATCAGCGGCAGGGCAAGCCACAGACGAGGGTTAGTGTAGGATTTTGCCACCCACTTGCTGGTGACCTTAGAGCTCTTGTCCCCGCCTCACCTCTAAGAGTCGCTATGCCTCAGTTTCCTCCCCTGCCACAGCCTGACCCTCCAGATGACACAGTGTAAGACTTAGCCCTCGTGACAGCACCTGGCTCAGGACATGTGAGTGACAAGCAGCAACTGTCACAAGTGTTGTCATTTGCTTGTTGTGACCCTCAGCAGATGCCTCATCTCGTGTCCTTCCAGGTCTCTCACGGGCACCTCCAGAGTCCTCGTCCCCGCCAGGGTCTGCAGCAGCCGCTGCCCAGGTGGAGCCCGAGGAGAGCACAGGCCAGGTGCCCGCGGGTGACTGCGCCAGCAGGGAGCCCACCAGGCAGGTGGCCTCTTGCGAATCGGAGGAGGCCAGGGGTGCAGGTAAGGGGTGGTGGCCACGGAGGGGGACAGCACCAGGGTGACCGGGATGGGTTGAGCTCTTTCTGTGACGCAGTCCTCCCTCTAGGCGGTTCCCTGGCCGGAGTGCGGTCCATCATGAAGCGGAAAGAGGAGCCCGCGGGCCCCGAGGCCCGGCGCAGGAGCCTGCAGTTCGTGGGCGTCAACGGCGGGTGAGAGGACCCCATCCCACAGCCCTTCCCTTTTTTTCAGTTCATTCATGGAGAAGAAAGAGCGTAGTAAACACCTTATTCTAAGTCCCCCGCTTGGGCTGATCCATTGACTCAAATGACAACAGGTAGATGAGGAGACAGGCCTGAGGAAGCTGTGTGTCTAGCAGGGGTAGTGATCCGGGAGGCCAGGTACGGTGGTGCACACCTGTAATCCCAGTGAGGGAGGCTGAGGCAGGAGGATGGCAAGTTTGAGGCCAGCCTCAGCAATTAAGCAAAGCCTTAAGCAATTGAGCAAGATCGTGTTTCAAAATTAAAAAATACAAAAGGACTGGGGGTGTAGCTCAATGGTAAAGGGCCCCTGGGTTCAATTCTTAGTACCAAAAAAACAACACTCAGTGATCCAGGAGTCTGCCCTGGCTCCAGAGCTTGTGGCTGGCCTAGCCCCTGGGAGATGCCAATTCCACTCCCTGCTCTGATGCAGCCTTGATCCAGGGGACAGTGGGTCCTGAGAGCAGGTTCCAGGCCGGATGGAGCCTCTGAGGAGGCACTGCTGGCCCTGACCCATAGGAGTCCCAGGAGCAGAGGACAAGTAGGAGCAGGCAGAGTGAAGGGCGGGGTGTGGGAGGGCGCTGCTGATAGAGGCGCCAGCCCAGGCCGGAGGAGGCAGGTAGAGAAGCAGGACGCCGAGGCAGCCACGGCCAGTGGGGGCCTCCAGTGCCACCCAGGAGCTTCGGGTGTCCAGGAGCAGCAAGGAGCCCAGAGAGGCCTGTGCAAGGCGGGTGGAGATCGAGTGGGTGACACCCTCGGGGCAGGGGCAGGGGGCACTGAGGGCAGAAGTTGTAGAGCAGCACCCGGCGTGGCCAGTCACAGCTGCTGTTCCTGCGGCATGGACGGGATGCCGGCTGCCGTCCCTTCCTGGCTGCAGCGTCTCCTCACCTGCCTGCCTTCCTCCCCAGGTATGAGTCCTCATCGGAAGACTCCAGCACAGCCGAGAACTTCTCAGATAATGACAGCACAGAGAACGAGGCCACAGAGCCCGAAGACAGGGTTCCGAGTGTGGCCCCAGTGCCCCAGCTCAGGCCAGGGACAGCGGTGGCCAAGACCGGCCGGCAAGAGTGTCGGTTATCTCGGGAGTCTCAGCACGTACCCACGGCGGAGGGGGCCTCGGGATCCAACTCGGAGGAGGAGATCCGGTCAGTTTTCTGGGTGGGAGAGACTCAGAGAGGGTCTTTCTCAGATCCAGCCCAGCCCTCTGAGAGCCCAGTCAGGCACACTCTAGTGGGAATTAGCCAACAAGCGCTTTCTCCTGAGCATCTCAAGTTCTGGAGGCCATCAAAGCCTCTTTCTAGCTCCTGGTGTTAGGTTTTAGGAGACAGAAGTTTCTCTTCTCTTCTTTGGGGCGTGTACTCCAACACCCGTTCTATTTATTATGTCTCCTATATTTTTTTTCCTGATAAAAAATCTGCCCTGAGGAAAGACTTTCTGTTCACTCCTGGCCATTTGGAACAGCCCAGCCCACATGTCCCCTTTGTCCTGTAACCTGTGTGTTCCCCGTGACCCTGGTGAAGAGGGTCTGCAGTGCCGCCCTTCAGTTGACCCTGGCAGGACTTCGTGGGTGCCACAGTGGAGAGCTCTCCTCCAGCTCCCCAGCTGGATGTGGGGTGGGGACAGGCGTCCAGGGGACCTGGCGCTCAGACCAAGCTCCTCTTATTCTTTGGCAGGATGGAGCTGAGCCCCGACCTCATCTCGGCCTGCTTGGCCCTGGAGAAGTACCTGGGCAACCCCAACGCCCTCACGGAGCGGGAGCTGGTAGGCTGAGCCCTCAGCAGACCCCCTCCTGTCCCACCACTCCTGGCTGCTGCTTGCCCTTGGTGGCCCCCTCCATCTGCCTAGTGAGGACCCTGAGACCCCCAGCCGGGGCTCTGGGGTGGGTGGGACTTGAGTCGTGGACCCTGGAGACGGGCCAGGGAGGCAGAGGGGGGCCCCAGTTCAGTGGTCGCTCTTGCTTCTGCGGCCTGAGGGGAGGGGCTGCCTTGCTCTTCCCTCGGAGGTGGTCCCCAGGCAGAGGCGGCCTTCTGGGAAGGCGTCCCGTGTCCACACCCACCCTGAGGGTCTTAGTGAGTCGGGGTGCTGTCCCTCAGAGCCCCGTGCAGGGTGGGGGGCACCTCAGTTGGCTCCAGGGGCTCCTCTGGGGGGAAGACCTCCCCCATCCGGGCCTTTGTCCCTCACACCCCTCCCCCACCTAGAAAGTGGCCTACACCACGGTGCTGCAGGAGTGGCTACGCCTGGCCTGCCGCAGCGACGCACACCCCGAGCTGGTGCGGCGCCACCTGGTCACCTTCCGGGCCATGTCCGCCCGGCTGCTGGACTACGTGGTCAACATCGCCGATAGCAACGGCAACACGGCGCTGCACTACTCCGTGTCACACGCCAACTTCCCCGTGGTGCGGCAGCTGCTGGACAGCGGTGAGCGGGGGCGGCCCTAAGGGGGCCCAGCCTCCCTGGGGGACACAGCCTCCCCTCTGGCGGAGGAGGCCCATCTCCTGCGTGGTGTATGATGGCAGTGGGGACCCCCGGGGCAGGGAGGACTTCCAGTTAGGTGGCGCCTAGACAGAGGGAGGAGAGCGCAGTGGCGCTCAGGGCTGGAGGGAAGGCGGCTTCCCTTCTGATGGCGGAGGCCTGGCCATCCCAGGGCTCTCATCCACCGGGTCCCCTCCCCACCGCGCAGGCGTCTGCCAGGTGGACAAGCAGAACCGCGCAGGCTACAGCCCCATCATGCTCACTGCCCTGGCCACCCTGAAGACCCAGGATGACATCGAGACTGTCATTCAGCTCTTCCGGCTTGGAGATGTCAACGCCAAAGCCAGCCAGGTAGGTGCAGGGACCCTGGGCCTACGCGGGCCTGGGGAGCCTGGCCCCTTGAGTGAGCCCCCACTGCGTGCCAGGCCCAGCGGTGCCCTCAGCTCCCATTCCGGGGAGCGGCCACTCCACAGGCTCAGAGGGCTGCCTCATTCCTCGAGGTCAGAGTCCAGGAGGTGGGATCCCAGCTGTGGTCCAGCTGCAGAGCCCTGCTCTCCGTGACCTGCCGAGTGGCCCGAGGGCCTTGGGTCCATCCCTAGCACTGTCCCCCCCACACACACACAAAAAAAGGGTAGGGCAGCCAAGACCCCATGGGATGCTGGGAAGGGGGTTGCAGCAAGTGGGGGCGCTCGGCACGGGAGCCCGGGGAAGCCCTGGAAGGTTCTGGAGCAGGAGCATCTTACCTTTGGTCCCACGTGGACTATGACCGCGGTCCTTGCCCAGGCGGGGCAGACGGCCCTGATGCTGGCGGTCAGCCACGGGCGAGTGGATGTGGTCAAAGCCCTCCTGACCTGCGAGGCGGACGTCAACGTGCAGGACGATGACGGCTCCACGGCGCTCATGTGTGCCTGTGAGCACGGCCACAAGGAGATCGCGGGGCTGCTGCTGGCTGTGCCCAGCTGTGACATCTCGCTCACCGACCGTGTAAGTGCCCGCCCAGGGGCTCCCCAGGAGAGTGGAGTGACCAGGCAGTAGCACAGCAACGGCTTCTTTGCAGGATGGGAGCACCGCTCTCATGGTGGCCCTGGATGCCGGGCAGAGCGAGATCGCGTCCATGCTGTACTCCCGCATGAACATCAAGTGCTCGGTGAGTCTCAGGCAGGGTGGGAGGGGGGCTGCGGGAGGCGACAGGTGTATGTGAAGAGTGGGTGGTAGGCCAGGCGCAGTGGCTCACGCCTGTAATCACAGTGACTCGGGAGGCCGAGAGAGGAGGATCACAAGTTTGAGGCAGCCTCTGCATTTAACCAAATCTGGTCTCAAAAAGGACTGAGGATTAAAGTAGTTAAGTATTAAAGCACCTCTGGGTTCAATCCCTGGTACCCGCCCCACAAAATCATAAGGTATGGGAAGCTGAGACAAGAGGATCGCTTGAGACCAGGAGTTCAAGGCCAGTCAGGGCAACATAGCAAGACCGTTTTTCAAACAAAGAAATCATAAGTCAAACCATAGCTTGAAGACTGTATTTCCTGAGCACCTACCGTGTGTTAGTAGGTTCTGTGATCACAGCAGTGTACAAAACTAAAAAAAATATTCTGCCTTCCGAGAGTGTGCATCTAGTAAGAGACGCCGTAAGCAAATCAGTATGTAATACCAGGTGACAGCACCAGAAAGGAGTAAGGCAGTGAGAGGGATGGCCAGGGACCAGGGGAGCTACTTTAGGTCTCAGCTAAGAGGTGACATTCTGGGACTGGGATTGTGGCTCCGTGGTAGACTAGCGTGCATGAGGCACTGGGTTTGATTCTTGGCACCACATACAAATAAATTTAAAAAAAAAAATAAAGGTCCATCAACAACTAAACATATATTTAAAAAAAAAAAGGTGACATTTCAGCCTGTACCTGAAGAAGTGAGGGAGTGAGTCCCGTGGCCATCTAGGCAGAAGGGGCAGCCATGCAAAGGCCCTGAGGCAGGAATGTGCCTCTGCATTTACGAAGTATCAGGGAGCCCAGGAGGAAGAGGCAAGGGCAGAGTGACGTGGCAGATTGTGGGAGACCAGGGTGGGCCAGAGTGAGGACTTTGGCTTAGACTTCAACATGTCAGCATATTAAAGTCCTAGAAAACCTCACTGAAAAGAAACCTAACTCCGCGTAACTCAGCATTTCTCTTATTTGACCACAGAAATCTTGTTTTTTTTTTTGGTTTTTTTTCCCCCAAATCCTGCCTGAGCTGGACACGGCAGCACACACTGTAATCCCAGTAACTTGGGAGGCTGAGGCAGGAAGATTACAGTTTGAGGCCAGCCTGGGCATAGGAGCAAGACTCTGTCAGTGGTAGAGTGCCCGCCCAGCAGGCAGGAGGCCCTGGGTTCCATGCCCAGAACAGACAGGGGAACTGCCTCAGGGGCCCGGGGCCGCGACTGCCCAGACAGCCGCCCGTCTCCCACTCACCCCAGCTCCCACGGGAGCCCCCCTTCCTACATCCCCACTATCCTGTGCCCTGCTCAGGGTGTCAGGACGCGGGGCCTCAGTCCTATCCTGCAGGGAATCGCTCTGGGCCTGCTTCCAACTAGAAGATTGAGTGACGGGGCCTCTAGTGTCCTAAATGTCCCTGCAGTTTGACCTGTGGCCCTGTCCCCAGAGACCCCTGAGGGACAGACCCTCATCCATCACCACCCACCTGGACCACTCACTGCGGTTTCTTCCACCCTGGCCCCCACTTCCTGGCCTCGTCCTACTCCCCGACCTCCAGCCTGTCCCCCACCCCGTAGCAGCCAGAGGCCACTGTGGACACTGGAGTCGGGGCACCTCTCTCCACTCTCAACCCTCTACGACTCCCACCTCACTTGAGAAAAAGCCACAGTCCTTCTGGGAGCCTATCCGCCACCCTTCCTCGTTCCTGCCAGGGTTCCTATATCCCAGCTCCTCTGCTTCTGCCCCAGGACCTTCGCACTTACTGTTCCTCCAGCCGCCTCTGCCAGCCTCTGGGATTAGGACACACACACACACACACACACACACACACACACACACACGCTCTGCCTGCATCCCCTCCATCTCTTATCCCCAGTGACAGTCCTCCAGTCTTTGTTTCTTCAAGGCATCCCTTATTTGAAGCCAAGGGCTACACCTCCTGCAGGGCAGGCCCACCCACCACATCCACAGGCCAGCCCTAATGTCCATGCCTCAGAAAGGGGATCTGAAATAGCACCAGACAAAAAGCACTGGCTTCTCGTTACAGTTCGCCCCGATGTCCGATGACGAGAGCCTGGCGTCGTCCTCCGCCGAAGAGTAGCCAAGGGAGGGCGGCCGGAGCCTCCCTTGGGGCCACTGGCCCGCCAGCCAGCCGTCCTGTCTCCTCTCTGCCCCTCTCTCCTCGGGCTTCCCCCCACCCCCCAGGCCCAAGTCTGGAAGGCAAACAGGTTTCCCTCCGCGTCCCCAGGGAGCCCAGGACAGGGACTCGCAGGGGACTCCTGCTCCGGTTGGTTCTCCGGCACCCAAGTTCAAAGCAGCGGCCCAGACCAAAGCTCAACTCTTGTCTAACGCGGCGCCAGGGGCTGTTGGCGGGTGTGGGTTTTATAAAGAACGCGGAGAACAATCGGCGGCAATTACGGGCGGAGGAGGGGAAATTTTATATTTTTGAATCATTGTCGGGGGAGGGGCGCGATCCTCCTGTGTGTGGCCAAATTTGAAAGTCACTGGAATTGCGTGTGCTCCTGTAGTCGTGAATGTCAAGGCACCGTCATCACGCAGTGGCTTTGCCCGCCCGCCTCCCCCACTCGGACTAACTGTCCAGTTACAGCGTCTGCTGCCCCCACTCCAGGTGGCCTTCCGGGGGACATTTCTTCTCTTTCTTCACAGAGTAGCTTCCGCCCTGTCACGTCACCCCCTGGGCAGACAGCTGAGCCCTTCTCTCTTGTTGTGTCTGCCAGCGTCACCCCCACTCAAGTTGGGGGACTCAGGACCCTGCGGCCTGTGCTCTGGTAGCCTCTGACTTGTAGGTAACCCGTTCACAAGGAGAAATGACCCAGAAATCCATCCCGCCCCTGCACAGAGGCCCTGGCAAACAGCAAGTTTCCTAGAAAATCCTTCAGACCTAGAGTTGAAAGAAAAAGATCCAGTTCTCAGAGTGGCTGCTACATCCAGAGCCCAGAACCGTGGTTCCAGGGCCCTCCTCTTCCTCCACAGGTCTCCAGAATTTCTCTCCTTAAAGGAAAGAAAACAGGGAATGTGTGTGTTGGCAGAGCACAGGGCAGGCTCCACAAACCCCATGTGTACACAATTAAAAGTTGGCTGCCCCCAGAGGACTCCCAGCGCAAACTTAAAGAGACAGGCCCTTGCCGAAAACCAAACAAAGGGCAGCTGGATTTTTTTTTTTTTTTTTTAAACAACCTAGAGACTTTCCGGAGCTGCCTGGAGTAGAGCCTGCTGGAAACAGGGCTCGCCAGATTGGCTTACGGTTTCCTTCTGGGTCTGTTTTGTCCCCAGAATCTCAGTGTGGTTCTCTTTCCTGTTCCTTTCCTCGGGAAGCAGGGAAAAGATCAGGCTCCCCCCTTCAGTGTGCCTTGTTAAGGAAGTGGGAGCCCTCCCCAGGCCTGTGCTGCCCTCCAGGTCCACAGGGCTTTGAAGCCCCAGCCCAGCAGGACAGAATGAGCCCCAGGAGCTGTCTGCTCCCCTAGAGAAGCAGGTTTCTGGGCTTGGTGTAGCCTGGCTGGCTTGGATTTTTGTAGAAGGTCAGTCTATGTTTGGACAAGAAGGCTTGGGCTGTCCAGGACGGGGTGGGTGGGTGGTGTGCGTGTGAAACTAGAGAACCCCAGGTGAGCGAGCAGGTGCTGTACCCAAGCTCCTGGAAGCAGCCCTTTGGCCCAGGAGTGCTGACCCCGCCCATCACCCGCGTCACTCGGTCATTCCTCTCTGCATGCCCATTGGGCTGCACGGGGGTCATGCCCCGTCCCTACCCTCTTCCCACGTGTATCCCTGAGCTTTAATTTCACTCTCTGACCACGGTACGTCCATAAAGACAGTATTACACTAAATGAAGTATTCTTTTTTGTAATCTCTTTTTTAGAACGTAAAGAATTTAATAAAGCTACAAATAATGTGGATGCGTCTCTGTCTTTGTGTCATTGTAGTTGTCCGTGTGTGGATGGAGCCGGGGCCTTGTGCATGACAGGCAAGTGCTCAGCCTCAGCCACCGCCCTGGCCCTTGCTAGGTTTTCTCTCTCTCTTTTTTTTTGGGGGGGGATGCCCAGGGGCCGCTAATCCTGAGCCACATTCATACTTGGCCTTTATAAATTTTTATTTAGAGACAGGTTCTCCCAGAGGCTGGCTTTGAACTCACCTTCCTCTTTCCTATCTCAGCCTCCTGAACTTCTGGGATTACGTGTGTGCACCATGGCGCCTGGTCCCCCAGCTCTTCCTTTTTTTTTGGCACTGGGTAGTGAATCCAGGGGCACTCAACCACTGAGCCATACCCCCAGCCCTTGTTTGTATCTTTAGAGAAAAGTTCGCACTGAGTTACTTAGGGCCTCGCCGAGTTGCTGAGGCCGGCTTTGAACTCACAATCCTCCTGCCTCAGCCTCCCAAACCCCTGGGATTACAGGCATGGGCCAGCCCTTACTCTTTATTGTTTTAAGTACATACCTTTTGTGCACAAGTTGTACATGAAAGTTGTACATAAAAGTGGCTTCTGCAAACCAGTCACCAGTACCAGGAGGAAGTGGAGTGCCCTCGGCTCCCCCGCAGCCCTCCAGCCCCCTCCTCCCAACAGCGATGGGGCTGGAGGTTCCCCTGACTTCTCCACTCCCTTCAGTTTTCCCCTGAGCTGTGCAACCAGGAGGCAGAGAATGGGTGGCTTTCAGAAGTTTTTGGAGGCCCCAAACATTTAATGCAAAGGAGAGCACTTCTGAGTGGAAGGTCCTTGGCTCTTGTCAGTTTCCCAGGACTTTGTGAGCCAAGAAGGGCCTTTAGGAAATGAAGGATTGTTTCTCATGAGGCCGTTGCCAGGACCGTTTATCATCATTTTTGTTTTCTGTCAGCTCTTACTGAAGACCCTGTCCGCCCCACTGAGTTTCTTTGCTTTTTTTTTTTTAGGTTTTTGTTTTTTTTTTTTTTTTTTGTGTGTGTGTGTGTGTGTTTCATTTTTTTGGTGCTGCAGATGGAGCCCAGGGCCTCGAGCATGCTGGGCAAGTGCTCTACCATGAGCCGCACCCCCAGGTCATTATATACACACATTTTTTTTTTCCGTACTTGGGATTGAACCCAGGGCACTCCACCCCTGAACCACATCCCTAGCTCTTTATTTTTCATTTTGAGATAGTGTCTTGCTAGGTTGCCCAGGGTGACCTCTAACTTGTGATCCTCCTACCTCAGCTTTCTGAATCACTGGGGATTACAGGTGCATGCCACTGTCCCTGGCTCCAGCCCAGAATATTTTTTTTTTTTTTTAAAGAGAGAGTGAGAGAGGAGAGAGAGAGAGAGAGAGAGAGAGAGAGAGAGAATTTTTAATATTTATTCTTTAGTTCTCGGCAGACACAACATCTTTGTTGGTATGTGGTGCTGAGGATCGAACCCGGGCCGCACGCACGCCAGGCGAGCGCGCTACCGCTGAGCCACATCCCCAGCCCAGAATATTTTTAAAAAATATTTTTCCCTTAGTTGTTGATAGATGTTTATTTTATTTATTTATATGTGGTGTTGAGAGTGGAACCCAGTGCCTTACACATGCAAGGCAAGTGCGCCACAGTCCCAGCCCCAGAATGTTTTTAATTCTGGTAAAATGTACATGTGATAAAATTGACCATCTTAACCAATTTTTTTTGGGGGGGTGGTTTCCTGGGATCCAACTCGGGGCCTCACCGGTATATACTGCTGAGCTACAGCCTGGCCCCATGAATCTTTTTTTTAGTTGTAGATGCACACAATACCTTTATTTTATATAAAATAAAATATATTTATATATATTTTATATGAATATATTTTATATATTCATTTTTATGTGGTGCTGAGGATCAAACCCAGTGCCTCTCATGTGCTAGGCAAGCGCTCTGCCACTGAGCCCCAGCCCCAGCCCCTTGAACTTTTAAGTGAACAGTTCAGTGGCATGAAGTACACCCACAGGTTGTGCAACCCACCTCCAGAACACCTTTCATCTTGCAAAACTGAAACTCTGTCCCCATTAAACACTCACCCCATTCCCCAGCCGCAGCCTGCGTTCTCCATATCTGTGAATCTGACTGTTTTCAGGGTTGCCTCTAAGTGAGGCCTGCAGGATTTGTCCCTTGGTGTCTGGCTTATGTCCCTCATAAAGCCCTCCGCGTCCCCTGGGCATCCTCACACTTGCCAGGACCGCCTTCCTTCTCAAGGTGGAATCCTCTTCCTTTTATGGATGGACCACGCCGCGCCATCCCCGTCCAGTGATGGGTACTTGGGTTGTGTCTGCCTCTAGGCTCTTGTGAATAATGCTGCTGTGAACTCGTTCTTGCTCATTTCTATCCCAGGCCCTGCTTTTCCATCTTCACGTAACTAAGAGTAGAATTCCTAGGAGGACGATTTGATTTCTAATTTTTTCCTTACTGGGGATTGAACTTGGAGGCACTTAACTACAGAGCCACATCCCCAGCCCTTTTTTACATTTAGAGACAGGGCCTCGCTGAGTTGCTTAAGGCTTCAATAAGATGCTGAGGCTGGCTTTGAACGTGTGATCCTCCTGCCTCAGCCTCCCTAGCCGCTGGAAGGACAGGGATGCGCCACCTCGCCCATCCCTGTTTCTAACTTTTTTTTTTTTTTGAATTTTTAATATTTATTTTTTAGTTATCGGAGGACACAACATCTTTGTTGGTATGTGGTACTGAGGATCGAACCCGGGCCGCACACATGCCAGGCGAGCGCGCTACTGCTTGAGCCACATCCCCAGGCCTGTCTCTAACTTTTTGAAGAATGTTACACTGTTTTGTAGAGTAGCTGCATCATTTCATGTACCTATCAAGAGTGCACAAGAGCGGGCTGGGGCTGGGCTCAGTGGTAGAGCACTTGCCTAGCCTGTGTGAAGCACTGGGTTCGATCCTCAGCACCACATAAAGATAAATACAATAAAGGTATTGTGTCCATCAACAACTAAAAATATTTTTAAAGCGTTCATGAGGGTTTCACTCTCTCCTCATCAGCTGGCTCTTTTTTTTTTTTGGTTTGTTTGTTTTGGATAGTGGCCATCCTAATGACTGTCAGGTGGACCTCACTGCTTTTTTTGGAAGGGAGGTGGGTGGCCTTTTTTGGCAGTATTTCTGTCTGTCAGGCTCTGGTTACACAATCTTGCATGGCTTATCTCCTGGACATCCCGCTCCAGCTGATAAGAGAAGGCTATCTTTAGCCCCAGAGCTTAGAAAGAAAGATTGTGAATTTGCCAAGGACACAGGTAAGCTGCCCAGCCAGAAACTGAACCCAAGATTTGGGTGCGTATGACATTGGGAACTGAACCTAGGGTCACTTTACCACTGAGCCACACAGGGTCTTGCTAACTTGCTGAGGCTGGCCTTGAACTTGCAATCTTCCCGACTCAGCCTCCTGAGTCACTGGGAGTACAGGCATTGCCACAGGGTCTGTTTCCTCTGCCCCCTTCCTCCTCCCTTCCTTCTTTCCTCCTTCCCTCCCTCCCTTCCTTTCCTCCTTCCTTCCCTCCCTCTCTCCCTCCCTTCTGTGATGGAACTCAGCACCTGGTGCATGCTAAGCAAGCCCTCTATGCCTGAGCTACACCTCATGCTGGGGTGATTCCTAACTTGAAATCTAAGGATAGCTTCCAGGGTCTTAGCACTCCCCAAAAGGTGTGTAAGGGCTGAAATGTAGCTTAATGGTAAAGCACTGGTTTTGAATGCACAAGGCCCTGGGTTTAATCCCTAGTACTGCAAAAACAAACAAGCCCAAAGGTGCAGAAAATCCAAAAATGTATGGATGTTGTGTACATGAGTCTCTCTCCTTGCTTTCCTAGGACTTCAAAGGAATCCCAGGAAAGCAGTGTCCCTATCTATATAAGCAATTAAAAAAATATAAGCAGCCCCTCGGCAAGTCCTGTCTCTTGTAAATAAGCTGAGGAGGGAGATGGTGGAACCCGTCAGGACCCTGACAGTTTGCCGAAGGTTCCTCGGTGACTCCTCACTTTGCTCCCTGGCAGCTGGAGCCCAGCTTGGAACTTGCTGCGTGCACGCACTGATTTTTCTCTATTCTATGTTGTAGAAAATACTAACCATGACACCCGCCCCCACAAAGCGATACCTTTACAGTTTGAGGACCACGTCACTGAATTGTGACGTTTGTCTTTCCTCAACTGTAACCCCTCACATAGTGTGAGGTTTGAGAGTATTTTAGGCACTCCACCCACTCAATTCCATGTGTGAGTCTCACTTAACACCTATATATAACACTTTACTGAATACCAGACACAATCCTTATTTTATCCCAACACCAACCCTGAGCTCGGCACTAATTATGGCCCTCCTTTTACTGAGGAGGAAGGTAAGGCACTGAGTGGTTAAGTGACTAGCCCAGGATAACACAGCGCACAGCCACTGCAAAGCTGAATTTGGAACCCAATGAGACTGCAGACTTCATTTTGGTAACAAATTTTTTTATGTTTGTTGTGTGTATCCTATACACACACTGTAAAACGTCGGCTCCATAAGAAGCAGCCCGAAGCTTTGCCCCTGCAACCGCTGCTTGCAAGCAGCAGGCACTGGACCTTGGCCTCCCCGCCAAAAAACCCTTCAAGGTCGCTCAGCAACTTTCCACCCTGCGCAGGCGCGGCAGGCCGACCTCCCGAAGACGTCCCCTTGACGCTCCGATTGGTCATCATCTTTGACTGACAGAAGAGCCAGCGCAAGCGCACCAAGCCAAACCGGAGGCGTCCTCCCACATACCGAGACGCCCCCTCGCTGCACCTATTGGCCATCGCTTTTGACTGACTGAGAAATAAGCCAATGAAACCAAGCCCATCGGGAAGGGGCGTACCCCGCGGGCAGTCAAATTTGCGCGGTTTGGTCCTGGCGTAGTCATGGCTGCCTTCCGCGATATCGAGGAGGTAAGCCAGGGACTGCTGAGCTTGCTGAGCGCTAACCGCGCCGAGGCGCAGCAGCGGCGGCTGCTGGGGCGCCACGAGCAGATATTGGAGCGGCTGCTGGAGACGCAGGACGGCGCCGAACAGCGACTGCAAGGTGAGCAGGAAGGGCCTGCCCTTGTCACCGCAGTTAACCTTGCCAGAGTTTTTTGTTTGTTTGCTTGCTTGCTTATTTGTTTGTTTGTTTTAGTTGTAGATGGACAAATAGCTTTATTTTGTTTATTTATTTTTATGTGGTGCTGAGGATCGAACCCAGGGCCCCACACGTACTAGGCGAGCACTCTACCACTTGCTTTCTTTTTTAAGGCTACTAAGTTTTCTTTGGTCTGGTAAAATTAAAACCCTAACATAAGAGAAGGGCACAGTGGTGCATGCCTGTAATCCCAGCGGCTCGGGAGGCTGAGGCAGGAGGATCATGAGTTCAAAGCCAGCCTCAGCAAAAGTGAGGCCCTAAGCAACGCAGTGAGATCCCGTCTCTAAATAAAATATAAAATAGGGCTGGGGATGTGGCTCAGTGGTTGAGTGCCCCTGAGTTCAATCCTCAGTAAACTGCACCCCTCCACCCCCACCAAAAAAAAAAAAATACATAAGATTTGCCATTTTAGCTTTGTGTGTGTGTATGTGTGTGTGTTTTTTGCTGGGATGGGGTCCAGACATTGAGCCTGCTGCTCTCACTGAACAACCTCCCAAAGTTCACTTTAGTCATTTTTAAGCACTAGGTTCAGCAGAATTAAGTACATTCGCACTGCTGGGTGACCACCGTGCATATCTAGAATTTTCATCCTCCCAAACTGGAGCCCTGTCTCTATTAACACTAACACCCCTCCTCACTTCCCCAGCCCCTGGCACCCATCACTCCACTTTATCTCAATGAACATGGCAGTGATGGTAAGTGAGCTCACATAGCGACTGCCCTCTGGTCACTGGCTTATTCCACTTAGCGTAATGTCCTAAAAGTTTGTCCACGCTGCAGCCTGTGACAAGATTTCCTTCCTTTTGTAGGGGATCATAGTCCACTGTATGGATGCCCGCACTGTGTTTATCCATGGTCTGTCAGTGGACACTGGCTATTTTGAATAATGCTGTTACTATGATCACGAGTGTGCGTGTATCTCTTCAAGATTGTTTTCAACTCTTTTTTTTTGCGGGGGGGGGGGGGGTACCAGAGATTGAACTCAGGGGCACTCGACCACTGAGTCACATCCCCAGCCCTATTTTGTGTCTTATTTAGAGACAGGGTCTCACTGAGTTGCTTGGCGCCTCGCCATTGCTGAGGCTGGCTTCAAACTCATGATTCTTCTGTCTCAGCCTCCTGAGCCACTGGGATTACAGGCGTGGGCCCCTGCACCCGGCCCCCTCCCTCCTCTTTACTTTCCCCTGCACTGATAGTTTGGGGATTGAAGGGACTGAGATTATTCCACGGAACCTGGGCTTTGAGGCACACAGACCCAGTGCACATTCGGTGAGGAGCTGCATGCTTAGTGGGCAAGTCTCTGCTTCCCTGATGGAGAGATGGGTTTAACCACCCGCCTTGGGACTGGGTCGTAGCTCAGTGGTGGAGTGTTGAGCATGTGTGTGGCCCTGGGTTCCATCTCCAGCACCAGACAAAATAAAAATAAAAAGTACCCTCTGCAGAGGACTTTTGATAATGCTTGGACAAAGAACTCTTGGGTCATCCCATGGCACTTGGTCAACATGCCAGCAAACAGCGCTGCCTTATGGACACCCACAGCGCGAGATCAACCCGGGGAAGAAGCAAGGAGGGATGTTGAGTTTTGAGTGGGAGGGTGGTGAAGGGTGGGAAGCCTGTCTGCCAGCCAGCCCTCGCCATCAGGACAGGAAATCGGTAGGCACCATCCCCCACAGACATGGGGAGAAATGGCCACATAAGGGAATTAAATGTGGATGTCCATGCCAGGGAGAACCCCTGGGAGTTCACAGTGGCTGCTGGAGGGTCGGAGTGCTGCAGGAGTGTGTGTGTGTGTGTGTGTGTGTGTGTGTGTGTGTGTGTGTGTTTAGGTTGTCAAAAATACATCTAATACTTTTTTCTTTCTTTTTGGTACCAGGGATTGAACCCAGGGGTGCTCCACCACTGAGCCACATTCCCAGCTCTTTTTATTTTGAGACAGGGTCTTGCTCAGTTCTGTGGGGCCTCGCTCAGTTGCTGAGGCTGGCTTCGAACTTGCAATCGACACCCCAGCCTCTGGGATAACAGGGGTGCTCCCCCCACACCTGGCCACACGAAATACTTTGATGGAACATTAACATCAGTTTTTGAGAACTTAAATGCAGGCCCTTTTGGAAGCATTTTAACCTGTGTCTTCCACAGGTTGGCAGATTGCTCTGTTCTGGAGGAAACACAGTAGCCTTCTTAAGATGCTTTTGATTTTTCTCAGTATTCTGTTCAACATGTGTTTATTCCGGGTAGTGTCTGGAGATATATGGGGAATAAAAGATGTGGTTTCTGATTCAAGGAAGAAAACAAGGGATAAATCATTCAGCGTGTGGGGCAGCCCACCTGCAGAGAGACTCTTTTCCAGGGAACCTTATTTTTGTGTTTATTTTCTTGTACTGAGGATTGAATCCACTGCTCTAACTCTGAGCCCCATCCCCAGCCCTTTTCATTTTTTGTTTTGAGTCAGGGTCTTGCTGAATTGCAAAGACTGGCCTTGAACTTGGATCCTCCTGCATCGGCCTCCCAAGTGGCTGAGTACCTGGGGTTACAGGCCCCTTGCTACCCTGCCCAGCTTCCCAGGGGATCTCGAAGGCTGGATGTGCCTGGAGGCAGGGGCACAGGGACATCCTGGAGCACAGGAGAAGGGAGCCCGGGCAGTGGAAACTGTGGCACCTTTGAAGAAGGAAGGGTGGGGAGGACAGCAGGTGGCAGGGTGAGAAGCTGGCGAGGGTCCTGGGAAGCCAGCACGGCAGTGCCTGCCTGAAGCCCCAGCTACTCCGCAGGTGGAGGCAGGAAAAATAGCTGGAGCCCAGAAGTTCTAGGACAGCATGGACACCACGGTGAGGCCCGAAGTCGGAACCAAAAAGAAAAAGAAAGAAAAAGACTCTCAGGTGACTGTCGCAATGGGCAAAGGGCGACTTAGGCATAAAGAATGTCCACGGACTTCTGCCCTTTTCAATGCTTTATTCACTCAAATCACTCAATACAATTCCACTCTATAGGTTCTTAATCAAGAAAATGACAATCCTTAATGCTAGGCACTGCAGTAGACAGAATCAGTTTACCGCAAACAATTCCAGATTAATTCTAAGCACTGCAAATACACTTGACAGACATTCCCTCTGCATGCTAAAAGCTAAGTGTCAGATCAAAAGTCTCAAGCCTTAGGCTTTAAGTCCAGCAGATGCACACTCACTCACACCGCCCTGATCAGGTCAGGACCCAAGGCAGGACTCTCCTAGGGTGGAGCTGACAGCCAGTTGAGGATAGGGTCCTAGGGAGAAGAAGTGGCTCTCACCATCAAGATGTGGCTGTAGAGTTTGAGAACAGTGAAGGAGATGCTGAGGATCAGGCAAAAGATGAGAAGAGTTGGGATGTCAGTCCAGGTCCTCATCAGGCTCTCAGCGCGAGGGCATCAGGGTCGGCTGGCTGAATGTCTGTTCATTTGCTTTTTTGTACTAAAATTTGGGGCTTCTGACCACCCTTTGAATCCCTACCAGCTCCCACGGGATTTCTCAGTGACATCATTTGCCCTGGGGTTACAGCATCTGGTCTGGTGGTCCCTACCCTGATTTTCTTGCCTCTCTCCCTTATCAGGGCAAGGACAACGTGACAGAAACTTCACTCTGAGCTCATCAGGGGGGGAGAAATGACTTGTTTGTACTGGGGGGCTCTGTAGGCTGCCTGGTGTAGGCTGCCTGCCAGGTTTCAAACTGGAGTTATTTAGGCTCAGGGCTAAGGCCATCCTTACAGTGCCTCTGAGCCTTACCCTGGAGACATGGAGCCTTCTCTGAGCAGGGCACAACTTTGCATCCTCTAATGCAGCCACTCAAGGCCCATAGGGAAATAAATTAGCATATTGACTCAGGGAGAAGTCAAAGCAGGGGGACAGTTAGGAACTGTTGGGTGGCCCTGGAGGGACAGTGGACTCTCACAAGGAAGGAAGAGAATCAGAGCCAGACAGGAGCTGCCAGGCTTGGATGGTGACTAGGAAGTGGAAACTGAGTCCCGGGGTTCTAGGCTTCCTGATACGACTTGTTTTTGTTGTAAATTATGATTAGAGGCTGGGGTGCACCTTGATGGTAGAGCCGGGGCCTAACATGAGGCTCCAGTTCATCCCCAGTACCACCCAAACCACACAGTTGCGATGGCGCACACCTGTAATCCCAGCCGCTCCCGAAGCTGAGACTGGAGGATTGTGGGTTTGAACCCAGTTTGGGCCACATGGAAAGACGCTTTCTCAAAAAAAAAATAATAAAATAAAAGATGAGGTGTTACAGGAAGGACCAGAGCCAGACATGGTGGCTGACATCTGTATTCCCAGTACCCTAGGAGGCGAGGCAAGAGGATCACAAGCCAAGCCCACCCTGGGCAGCTTAGAGAGACACTGTCTCAAAATAAAAGGGGCTTGGGGCTGCCCCTGGTTCAATCTTCAGTACCACCAAAAAAAAAAAAAGGGAGAGAGAAGGGTCAGATCCCATATTTACAGTTTTTGGTGTATTTAAATGTGTGGTGGCAAAAATGTGCAAGTTCTGACGGCAACTCTGGAAATGGACTTGCGATCTGAAGTGGTGATGCAGCTTGCAGTGGGGGGTGGGAGGACAGACCCCAAGGAGCCTTCTCTCCCTCTGCAGAGACACTGGCTGCAGAAGAGGAGGTGGCCCAAAGCCTTCTTCACTCAAAGGAGCGCAGCTGCCAGGGGAACGCGGAGCTCCAGCAGCTGGAGGCCGAGCTCCAGAGGGCGGCTGAGGACGATGCCCATCTGCAGGCCAGCCTCCTATATCCTTGACCGTGTCCATCGTCCTCCCTAGAAATCCCTTGCATGGGGCTGGGGTGTGGCCCCGGGGCGGGCACTGGCCTAGCAAGCCCTGGGATCCTGGTGCCTGGGCCCGACGCGCAGCGCGATGGTCTCCTGCTAAGCCGGGTCCTTAACGACCTGCCGCACTCAGCTAAACGGAGAGCTGCAGGAGCTCAGGGAGCTGGAGGCCGATCTGGAAAGACAGGAGAGAGACGTTGACGAGGACACGACTGTCGTCATCCCTTCTGCCGTGTAGGTTCCAGGAACGCGTGCTGGGGCTCGGCCTGCAGCCCGTCCTGCAGCTGCAGGTTCAAGTTGATGCAGGGGTAACTTTCTTCTCCCCCCCACCCCGGCCCTTGTCTAGGTATGTGGCTCAACTTTATCACCGAATGAGTAAAATAGAGTGGGATTACGAGAGCGAGCCAGGAGTGATCAAAGGCAGTATCCTTTTTTTTTTTTTGGAGAAACTGGTGGGAATATGAAGGGGTGCAGCCGCTCCGGAACAGGGTGTGTGGGATCCTCAAAAACGAGAAATAGAATCACTCTAGGACCCAGCAGTCCTGCCACTGGGAATAGACACAAAAGAAGGGAGGGCAGCAGGGTGTGGCAGCCTCGGAGTCCCGCTCACTTTACATTTATTTATTATTTATTTAAAAAAATTTTAAGTTGTTGTTGGACCTTTATTTATTTATTAACTTATATGTGGCGTGGAGAATAGAACTCAGTGCCTCACCCATGCTTGGCAAGCACTCTACCACCGAGCCTTCCCTGAATTGCCCAGGTTGGCCTCTAACTCCTGGACTCAAGGGACCCTCCTGCCTCTGCCTCCCAACAGCAGGGACCAAAACCAGGCACAGGTCACCATGCCCTACTAAAGAAGTGTTCTGTTTTTTTTTTTTTTCCCCCTTTCCTGTGGTACTAGGGATGGAACCCAGGGCCTGGCTCATGGGAGACAAGCACTCTACCCCTGAGTCATGCCCCAGACCCTTACTTTTTTTGGTACCAGGGACTGAACCCAGCGTGAACATAGAGGTGCTTCACCACTGGGCCACATCCCCAGCCAGTTTTGAGACAGGGCCTGGCTGAACTGCTGAAGCTATCTTTGAACTTGCAATCCTCCTGCCTCAGCCTCCCAGTCTGCCGGTATTACAGGCATGCTCCACCACACGCAGCCGTACTTCACACTTTTTAAGAAGATAGCATCTTAATATTTTCTTCATGAAAATGTATTTTAGTCTCTAAATATCTTTTTGTAAGGGGTGCTGGGAATTGAACTCATAATCTTAAACTACAATTGAGCTACGTCCCAGCCCCTCTAAATATCTTTTTTGTTTTGGTGGTATTGTTTTGGGGTTTGTTTTTCCACTGTGTTAAACTTTTTTTTTTTTTTTTAAAGGCTAGCCAAGCCAGGTAATCCCAGTTACTTTGGAGGCTGAGGCAAGACATTCACAAGTTCGAGGCCAGCCTCGACAAGTTAGCAAGACAAGACCCTTTCTCAAAAGTAAAAAAAAAAAAAAAAAAAAAAAATCGATTAAATGTTAAAATGGCAGTCCCCTCCCCACCCCCAGGTTGTGGAAGGGCCAGGTGTGTGAGGGGTTTTCCTTGCATTGGAACCTTCAGTCCATTACGGCCCCAGTGTGGCCCAGCCCATCCGCCTGGACAGCACCCAGCTCTCCCAGAAATTCATCAGTGACTACCTCTGGAGCCTGGTAGACACCGAGTGGCAGCCAGGAGCCTCGTGACCTGCAGAATCGGCCTTGGCGGGTGGTGGGTAGCTCCGTGGTGATCAGTTTAAATATCTGTATATATTCTGCTGTCGAGTACAACTAAGTAGAACAAATAAAAAAAGAAAAGAAAAGTTTGTATATAAAAGGAGTTTTTATTATCCTTTTGTTGTTGTTGTTGTTAGTGGGGATTGAACCCAAGGCCGCCTAACTGCTGAGGCTGGCTTTGAACTTAGTAGGAGCCTCCTGCCTCAGCCTCCTGAGCAGCTGGACTCCAGGCCTGGGACACTGTGCCTGGCTGCAATGTTTCTTTTTCTCCCCGATTTCGCGGTGGGATCTTGGCCTGACCTGCGCTACACAGCTGTAGGGCCCTGACTTAACCTCCCCTTACAGTGACACTGTAGCCTGGGACCACAGTCTGTGCACTTCTCTTCCCCTGATGCTGCAGATGGAACCAGGCCTCCTGTGTGCAGGCCAGGGCTCTCCCTCCACTGGGAGGCACCCCAGGTCCTTGGACGTGACGTGAAAGGAGAGCAGAGCCCTGTCCACACCAGCAGCCAACCTCAAGCAAGGTTTGGGAGCAGATGTGGCTCTCCCTCCTCAGCCCCAGTGACGGGGACAGGTTAGGCTGTCAGGGCTGTCCTGGGCGATGTGGGACATTTAGCGCCTTCCTTGCCCCCGCCCACTGAATACCAGTAGCTCCTGCTCTATCATGACAACAGGACATGTCTCAGCCATTGTGGGTGTCCCGGGGAGAAGTGACACACAAGGCCAGTCTGCAAGTCTGGCATCAGCCCCTTGGCCTTTGGCTGAGGAGCTTCTGTCACGTTGGTGGTCATTGCCAACATGGGGCAGGATGCTCGCCCCAGATGGTTCGCCCACAGAACCACAGGAGCCCTGCATGGCGCAGCCCCAGCCCCTAGCTGAGTCCAGGGGTGGAGAAGAGGCGTGTTTCCCTCTGGTCTTGCAAACAGACTGGCAGGCTGCAGGGCACAGATAAGGGCACAAGGAGCTTTTATCTTTGGTCCAGGCCCAGGCTCTAAGTGCCCTCCTCCCCCAGCATCGGCTCTCCCTCCTGAAGGAGAAGCCTGGCTTTATTCTGGGAGGGGGCCGAGGGGGTGTCCCCTGCTGGCCACTCATCCCCAGCATCCTGGACCTGTTTCCCCAAGGAGAAGACAGTCCCTTCAGGGAGGCTGCGCCCAAGCTCAGAGGGACCATGTGCCCCTCACCCTGCTCCCTGGCTTCTCTGCCACCTTGGCCAACCCAAGCACTGACCTACAGAGGGAGCGAGTGGGTGAGGAACGTGGCCGAGTGGGGCCCGGCAGGCGGGTGCAGGGAGGTGCCTGATTTCACAGGGATGGGGAGGCCCCTGCTCTCCCCATGCCTGGGCCCTGACTCACTGCCCAGCGCTGGCCCCGTGCCCAGGACAGCGTTGGCCTGCAGCCTCCAGCCCGAGCCCCACCCCCACCCTGGTGGTTCTCAGAGCCGTCCCATGGTCACTAGCTTGTTCTCAACTCAAGAGGCTCCCGAAGTACTGGGCCCAGACCTGCTGAGGTAGGAATGAAATTCAAGTCCCCACAACCAGGGAATGAGGAATCGGGTCACCTGCAAGATGGGGACTTGGCCCCAGCACCATCCAAGACACCTTTATAGATGTGAAAACTGAGGCACGGACGGTCTGGGGGCTGGCCTTAAGTCACAGGAGTGACACCCTGGATTCTGAACCACACTGCTGGGACCCCAGGGTCAGCTCTCACTTCTAGCCTGAGATCAGACTTGAGCTGAGGAATCATCTCCGCTTCCCAGGTGGGACCCTGGCCTGTGAGGGGTCTGTCCTCAATGCAGAGCACTCAGGAGGGCCCACGGCCACACATGCTGGAGCCCCAAAGGGGACAAATCAGGCTGACGTTGCAGTGCCCTGCTGTCCTGTTGCAGGCGTGGTGTCACTAGGTGGCCTGGCTTGACATCAGTGTTTCTTCCCTGGAAAACAGAACCACAATTGTATCAGGTCTGCGGGCCAAGCCCTCGCACTGGCCCCGAGATCAGCTTGGTGGCCCCAGCTGGGCGTCTCCTGATGCCCTCCCAGGTTTTGCAGGGTGCTAGGCCACTGAGCAAGGGCAGCGCAGGGGTGGCCATGTCCTTTTCTTGAGCCCTCCTGTGGCCTGGCATCTGGTGTCCCTTACAGCGAACCCACCCTGCAGAACTAGGTAAGGCAGGTCAAGGTTGTTCTCCATCTACAGACAGGAAACGGGCGGGGCATCCAAGTCCAGAGGCCGGACTCCAGCGCAGGTGGTCGAACACAAAGCCACCATCCTCCTGCTGCCCTCGACAAGCTGAGAGAAGCCGAGAGGACTGGCGGTGGGTTGTGGGCATGACTGGGTCTGGGACTGGAGCCTCCAGTTGACTGGCCTCCTCCTGTGGCCTGCACTGGTCACTCTCAGCGCTCCTGGTGGCCTCTCCTGTTCACTCAGAAGTGTCGGCTCGCTGCCCAGGTCTCACCAGCCCTCCCGCAGGAGCACACCTAGTAAAGGCCGCGCGAGGTCCCGCCAGGGCCATGGGCCTGGCCGCGTGTTTTCTGGCAGTGAAGGAACCCTAGACAAAGCCATTAATCTCAGGTTTTGCAGGCAGGTGACAGAACTGGGGTTTGAATCCAAGTCCTCTGAGTCCAGAGCATGTCCTGCTAATTCCGACCATGAATGAGATCATTTCAGTTGGTGATAAATGAACTAAAGAAAATAAAACGCTGTGGGAGGGAGAACTCTGTAGGGGGCCCCAGGATGGAAGGTCACTGGGCCCAGATCTAAGTCCTCAGGGAACAAAGGCGTAGAGACAAACTCCCAGGCAGGGGGACAGAAAGCTCAAGGTGCAACAAGGAAGCTGGCCTGGAGAGGACCTTGATCACACTGGGCCTGCAGTCCACAGTGGAATGTGGGAAGAATTTTCAAATTCCCATAGTGATCCAAGGGAACCTGCCTGCCATTGACCACTCCCCTTGGTGTGTGTGTGTGTGTGTGTGTGTGTGTGTGTGTGTGTGGTGGTGGTGGTGGTGGATGAAACGCAAGGACTTGTGCATGCTAGGCAAGGGCTCTACCACTGAGCTCTTGACATAAGTCACAGTGCAGCGGCCTGGGCCATCTTGGTGACTGATCTCACTATTTACCCCCAAATCTCCCTCCACGTCCCTCAAGTCCCATCCCAGAGGCACCCAGGCTTCAGGGAGAAGCAGGATTCAGCCAGAAGGGACACCCCCACTCCCAGAGCAGGAATTAGCACAGAAATGGGAGCTGCCAGGAGGGGAGCTGGACGAAACCCAGGAGGCCTGAGAGTGCCGCCCTGCTCAGTGGGGGGACACGAACTGGGCCATGTCACACACAGAACCTCAGCTGCTTTCTTATCCCCTTCATGACGGAAAATCACTGCCTGCAAGTGGGGGCGGGGTGGGGCGCAGCCAGCTGGGGTCAGGGCAGCACCCCGCCCGCCTCCACCCTCAGCCCTGTGTGCAGCCCCGTGGGCTCCAGGCTGACTCACCGCAGCCAGCTGTGGTTTGGGACGCCTTGGGTTGGAAGGGACGTCAGCCCAGGGGGCAGGAGCGGGCAGCGGGGTTGCCAGTCAGGAGTCAGACTGGGGAAGCTGCTTCCTCCCACTACCCATCCTGTCCTGTCCTGGCCAGACCTGGGAGCTTCCAAGTGGGACCACAGAGACCCTGACCGCTCACGCCATCCGAGTGTGCGCGCATGCGCACACAGCCCCTAACCCTGCAGACCCCGGGGACCAGCCGGCGGCGGACACCTTTCCCTAGGGCCCCTTCTAACCCAGAGAACTGCAGGCAGAGAGCATCAAACCCGGCCACAGGGACCTCATGCCTCCTCCCTCCCTTTAAAATGGGCAGCTGTCACTGTCCCTCCCTCAGGGAACCATCATGAGAAGCAGAATTAGCCCCTGAGAAGCTCTGCTCTTTTTGTCTAATTTTATTTATTTTTTGCGGTGCTGGGGATGCAACCCAGGGGCTAAGCAAGCACCACCGAGCCACGCCCCCAGCCCCCCAAGATTTTCAGTAACTTTTTCCGCAGTAAGCAGCCCGGGCCAGACGTCAGGAATGTCCATCCCCTCTGGCCTCTTCGGGCCACCCTGCCCACCCCCCAGCCCTGCTCCCAGCCTCCCTGCCCAGCCAGGGCCACCGTGTCCTCACCCCCACCAAGCGCCCTCGCCCCCTCCCGGGCCTCCTCATTGTACTTGGAGCCACCCCGGCTCGTTGATCCTGTTTGCCACACGGTTGAGCATCGATTCATTCAATCAAGCAATTATCGAACGCCCTGTGCAGGCCCCGGACGCGGCCCGTGTGGGCTGCTCGGTTTTCTCTCCCGGAGGCGATTTGGAGCGTTTCCAAAACAAAAGGCGGAAGGAAGGAAGGAAGTGCCACCCGGTGGACACCGAAAAGATAGCAGGCCCCGTGCCTGTCTCCGGCCACTGCAGGGCCCCCACCCCCTCGCCGAGGCCCGGCCACCGGGATTAGCATCGAGCTGGGTTCTGAAGGGGAAACTGAGGCTCTAGGGTGCCCAAGGACACCCAGAGAATCAGAGCAAGGCCAGGATGTTATCCGAGGTCGCTGGCCGGGTGTGTCCCCCCTTGGTTTCCCAGGCTCCTTTACCAAGTGGCTCCCGTTGGGCTCAGCCAGTGGGGAGGCGCTGGTAGGGGACCAGGAGGCAGGGATGGGCTGTGGTCTGTCCCCTGTCACTGCCAGGACAACATTTGCAGAGATCTTTTGTCTGGTTCCCAGCAGCTCTGGGTCTCCAATATTACCCTCTGCGGCACCCTCCACCCTTCCAGAAGCTTCTGCGGTTGTTCATTTCCAGTTTGCCTCACTGCCCACCCCTCCAAATTTGGTCTTTTAAAAGGTACTGTGGCACACTCCTAGAACCCCGGCGACTCAGGAGGTGAGGCAGGAAGATCACAAGTTTGAGGCCAGCCTCAGCAATTTAGCAAGGTCCTAAGCAACTTAGTGAGACCCTGTTTCAAAATAAAAAGTTAAACAAAAAGGGCTGGGAATGTGGTTTCGTGGTTAAGTGTCTCTGCATTCAATCCCCAGTACTAAATTGTTTTAAATTAATTTTTAAGACAGGGTCTTACTAAATTGCTAGGCTGGTCTCCCATGTGCTGTTCTCCTGCCTCAGTCTCCTGAGTCACTGGGATTCTGCGTGTGCGCCACTCTGACCAGCTAGAAGTATATTACTTCTAATAATCCACAACATAAAATCTGCCCCCAGAACCCTTTGGAATGCACCGTCCATGGCGTTAGGAGCGTCTCCATTGTTGTGCATCATGTCCATCTCCAAAACTTTTCCATCTGCCCACACTGAAACCGTCCCCAGTAAGCACTCAGGCCCCATCCCCTCCCCAGCGGCTGGCTCCCAACATCCTACTTCCTGTCTTCAAGATCTGACCACTGCGCGACCTCCTGTGTGGGGAATGATATTATTCATCTCATCCTCTCTTTTTATTTTTAATTTTTTTGATACTGGAGATTGAACCCAGGGGTGCTCTACCACTTAGCGACAACTCTGGGCTTTCTTATTTTTTATTCTGAGACAGGGTCTAGCTAAGTTGCCCAGGCTGGCCCAGACTTGTGATCCTCCTGCATCAGCCTCTCCAGTTGCTGGGATGCCTGGTGTGGGCCACCGCTCCTGGCAGGATTTGCCCTTTTGTGCCTGGCTTACTTCACTGAGCATAATGTCCTGGAGGGCCAGCCCTACGGAGGATGCCAGGAATCCCTTCCTTTCAAAGGCGGAGTCACTCTTCCTTGTGTGGAGGGACCACAGCTTGTCCCTCCTGGACACGTGGGTCACTTCCCACCTTTGGGCTAGGAATGGTGTTTCTGGGCCAATGTCTGTTCAAGATTCTCCTTTCAAGTCTTTGTGTCTGTACCCCAAAGTGGGATTTCTGGATCCTATGGTAACTGGAGGATTTTGGGGGGAGGGGAATCATCATACTGCTTTCCACAGTGGCTGCACCCCTTCAGTTTACCAGCCAAGCTCCAGGGTTCCGATTTCTCCACATCCTTGCCGACGTTGGTTATTTCTGTTGTTTTATGTTGTTTTGCCAATTACAGCCATTCCAAGAAGTGTGAGCTGGTACCTCCCTGTGATTTTTTTTTTTTCTGTTTTGTCTTTTTAGCCTTCTTTCCTCTATTCCTCCCACCCCACCACCAGGCCTGGGGATGGAGCCCAGGGCTGTGCCAGGCAGGTGGGCAACAGCTCCACCACTGAGCGACATCCTCAGTGCTTAAGTTCTTCGTCGGCTGTAGGCTGTTTCTTTTTCCTTTAAACTTTTTTAGACACGAGGTCTCCCTATGTTGCCCAGGCTGGTCCTGAGCTCCTGGGCTCAGGTGATCCTCATCTCAGCCCTCCAAGTGATTGGGACTATGGCTGTGTACCACCATGCCCGGCGGGGCTCTTTCTGGCCAGCGCCACCCAGGCTTTGATTTGTACCTGCTCTGAGACAAGAGCTCTGAAGCTCCCTCAAAGCCCAGGCAGGGAATGCTGGGGAGCATGAGAGGGGATGGAGGGGATGGAGGGGCAGGGTGCTCAGGTGGGCAGCTGTGCCGGGGACTCTAACCAGACAATCCCTCCAAGGAATAAGACCAGGATTGACAGAATTTATGCTTGCACTGGGCTGTGAAATCGCTTAATTTTCATATTTAGCCTTCATCTTAGCTCAAGCAGTCTAGAAAAGGGCGTGAAGGGAAAAGTCCTGCAGGAGTGTAGGCCGTTGGGCTGGGGGTGTAGCTGGGTGGTAGAACACTTGCCAAGTGTAGAGGAAGTCCTGGGTTCAGTCCCTAGCACTGGAAAAAAAGATACAGGAAGAGAGAAAGAGAGGGGGATGGTGTTGATGGGACCAAGTGCCGAGGGGGGGCTGGGACATTGTTCCTTTAACAAAACACTCAAGTCTCCACCTGTTAGTTCTTTCTCTTGCTTGTGGACAAACTCAAAAGTCATTTTCTCCTTAGAAATGCCCTCCTTAGATGAGGGCCCTTCTCCCTGACAATCATTTGTCTGCCCATTGCCGTGTTTAATTTTTTCCAGAACATTCCTTTCAGATACTTATTTGTAATCTTCCCTCTTATTGTGGGGGATTGGTTCAGGACCCCCACAGATGCCAAAGTCTTGGGCATTCAAATCCCTTATATAGAATGGAATCACATCTGCGTAGAACCCACGCAATCCTCCCAACATCTGCTCTAGGTGACTTGTAATACCCACTGCCAGGTGAATGCCAGGGACATCGCTGTGACATTTTACTCTTCAGGGCAAAATGTCCACACACATTCAGCACATTTACAACCTTTCTTCCTGAATATCTGTATCTGCAGTTGATTGAATCCAAGGATGTGGAACTTGTACATGGAGGGTTAGCTGTTATCTATTTTTCCTCTTCTATCCAAAATGTTAGCTCCATGAAGACAGTAGGACTCAACGTACAGTTGTCCCAAATGCTGAGAACAGTGCCTGGCACACAGTAAGCACTCAATAAATGTTTATCAAGTGAATGGATGGAGCTGGGAATCTGGCAAAGCCCTAACTCACAGAAGCACCTGGTGGAGTATGAAATCACCAGTGAGCGTGACATCACCCACAGCACTCCATGAAGGCTGCAGCCCATTCTGTGCTCCTTTCTGGATCTTTCTCTGGAGGACTCTAGTCCACTACTCAATGAAGGAAGAAAGCAAATAGAGGAATACCACATCAGGTTTAGCCAGATGGCTCATTTAAGAAATAAGTCCACTACTCAATGAAGGAAGAAAGCAAATAGAGGAATACCACATCAGGTTTAGCCAGATGGCTCATTTAAGAAATAAGTCCACTACTCAATGAAGGAAGAAAGCAAATAGAGGAATACCACATCAGGTTTAGCCAGATGGCTCATTTAAGAAATAAGTCCACTACTCAATGAAGGAAGAAAGCAAATAGAGGAATACCACATCAGGTTTAGCCAGATGGCTCATTTAAGAAATTTAATCGATCACAGTAAGACATTCAGGCTATTAAAAAACAAACAAAAACAAAAACAAAAAAAAACAACATTCTATACAGTGTTTTAAAAAGCAAGTGTCCATACCCCTGAAGCAATTACAAGGACACCTGGATGTCACTCTCCTGAAACAAGCTACACGGTCCAGTCCGTGTGAATAATCTTTGTACATAAAGACGAGGCATCTCAGAGACCACTACCCCTAATGCAGAGCCCCTAGAAATGTCACCAACGATTGCAGCAAACAGGGTTTGCAAAAATAAATAATTTATATATATATATATGATAACATTCAAAAATATACAAAGTGCAAACATAACCACAAGTGCTACCAGCTGCACAGGGATCTATTTACATGCTTCAGAAAGAAAAGACCAGCACAGTTTCCTACGGGAGTCACAGTGTTTGATCATTGCTACTGAGCCAGTAAGAGTCCCTTCAGATGTCTCTGTGTGGGGATCCACGGGAGGCTGCCCCTGTCTCTTTGACTCATCCCTGCAACCATGCAATGATAAAATTTGTGGCCATTTCAGGAAGAATCCTGGCTTTTCAAGTTCCATCAAATGACCTAGAGGAGATTCTCTAAAGGGTGAAAGGCTGTGAGTTTCTCCTGCGCAGCCTTTGAGGATCAGACAGGGAGGTTAATGGCTCTGGGACTTTTGCATAGAAGTGACCTGGCAGATGATAAGAAAATAAAGCAAGCAGCCTGGGAACTCAGGGGCAGAGCGCTTGCCTGGCTTGTATAAAATCCTGAGTTTAACCCTCTGCACTGGCAAAAAGGAAAAAAAAAAATAATAATGCAGGAGGGTTTGCCTATTCCAAATATTGGCAATCATGGCTTTGAAGCAGTCCCCAGTGATCTGACCTTTTCTTTCCTCCACATGCATCTTCTCCTGCATTCACCAACACGGGCCACCTCCGGCCAGTGATCCCACCCCAACACACGTGACAGAAAACAGTGCAAAATAACAAGAATGTCACATTTACACAATGTACAACCCTGAACTGAAAAAGTGCGAGGAGATCAAAAGAAGCGAAGCGCAGGCTCCCGTGGGCGGGATCAGGGCGCAGTACAGCGACAGCCACACCTGGGCTGGCAGAGTCACGGAGGGCGGAGGCAGGGCGTCCCCAGGAACAAGGTAACCGGGTGTTTCAGGCACTTCACGAGTATTAAGGGCGACTGGTGACTCAGGCTTTTCCTGGGGAACTGGCAAAGCTTTGGCGAGGGACAGGGCGGACGGTGCTGCCTTAGCAGTAGGGGGTGCCCTTCCCCTTCAGGGTCAGGCTCCTTCTGGCGCAGGGAGGCGGAGTGTGGAGGGGTGAG